TATATATATATATTAGTAATATGATGAATATTATATATCTTAGTCTGTCAGCCAAGTCTGAGAGTTACCTGCTGCTCTCTGGGACTAAAAAGTCAGCATGATGTGTTTTTAATGATGTGATATCAACCCTTGCTGAGATGTCTCTTGCGTATGTAATCCTGTGTACGGAGATGTTTTACTGCCTTATTTTGGAACAAAACTCTTTGAATGTTTCACTTGGCGCCGATAAGAAACTACTTCACTAATCTGTTTCAGCCTGAGGAGGTTTGGATAACCGCCTATATTAAAGTTCATCGTTTTCCACTGTTGTGTGAGCGCAGTGTAAGACAAAACAGCACGTACGAAACCGAAACATGTCGAGATTGATGGTCGGGTTAATTTTTCACTGAGTTACTCTCGCACACTGAGCTTGTGGCTGCTGAAATGAGGGCTCAGAGCCTTTCAACATCCCTGTCTATACCCTGCTGAAGAGATACTGACACTTTAGCAGCTCACTGTGACCTCTGACCGCCCAGTGGAGCTCAATCCAACTTCATGTGACCGTTGCAGGTGTAGAACAGAAGGATCATTTCGCTTAAATTGTGTGATGTTAATACAACACTTTCAATTTAAACTTTTTGAGTTTGTACATTTATATTTAATACTTTGTGTAAAGGTCTGTTTTCCACAGGTGCTATTTAGGTGTACTTTAAAAAGGATTAGTACATACTTGATTATTAGGAGTTAGTTCATTTAAGATAATCAATCAATGGTTATTGAGAAATAGTCAATGTAGTAACAGAATCTGGATCCATATCTGATCAGCACTGCCTAGTTTGACCATTTGATCTGTTTACTGAGCTCATAAATCAAGTCAGAAGTTGGCTCATTTCTCCATAAGACTGAATGTTTTTTTTACATTTCTGCTTGTTTAATGTATTAATGTGAGGGAGGTTCCATCAGATCTGTCATGTGAGTTAAATGTTTGGTACGTCAGAACTTATCCGGAAAAAGTGTTTCCGTCTCCCATCAGGCTTTGAGGGTAAGCCTCTTGGGAGTTGGAGTTTACACAGCGTTATCAGGGACAGAAAACCTCAGTATCTTGAGCGTCCTGACCTGGCCTCTTTTCCTTCAATAGTGGTGGCTTGTAGTCTTTAGTCCTCATAGCGAGGCTAGCTATGGATTCAAAATTATTATTATAAGGCTCATGTGTTTTACACCTCAGACAGAATTATTTTTGGCCAAAAATAGCACATTTGATAGTAAAGATTGCTGACCTCTGCATAATATAGATGCTACTGTTTTTATTGAACCTCTTTCACAGCAGACATTCTGACTTGTCATACAAGGAAAAGCACAGGAGTTACCAATAAAATGAACAATGGCTCCATTCCATTCAAATGTCCTAGTAAGGCCTGAGCCAGAACGCACAATACCTACAGCTGAAGCAGCTAAATGGAATTTAACCATCCTAAATTTGATTATTTATATCTATAGAGTTTAACTTGAAAGGACAGACTTTATGTGATTAGATGAATCAAATCTTTTTGCCTCAAGAAACTACAGATTTTATTATAGCAAAAAGTGAGAGGGCACTGAGAGAGTTGTGGCTTTATGATGGGTATAAAGGGGCTGTATAACCTGCAGACGGGTTATATGGTCGCAGGTGACCAGCGGTTCCTGCCAAAGGTCAAGTCACCACCCGGCCTCTCCCTGCCTCTAATGGCTGACTACTACTGAGCAGGTGGTACTTAATGCAGTACTGCAGAGAGGTCTGTGTATTTAAATGGTTATATTCCATATGAGGAAGATTACACCACTGTGAGTATACTTCAGTGAACAGTAAATAAATATTTTTGTGTTCCATGTTGGAGGAATAAGTAAAAGTATCGATAAAACTTAACAACTCCGCTGGTAACTCGTGGCGAGTTTATTGAGCCGTCGTTGCATTCTTTTGACACTTTTTCTTCATAAACTGAGACATATTATTAGAGATAGATATATTATTATTCACATTCAGACAAAGGTTTTATAAAGCTGTGAGAATAGAACGACTGACCGACAGCTGCAGGAATACTCTTGTTAGGTGAAAACCTCAGAACTCCAGTTCAAATGTGACCACACTGTTTTCTATGGCTACTGCACGCTCAGCCTCGTTGTTTCAGTACGCCGTAAAGCTTGCAGAGACATAAAACCTGCCGGAATCGCAGGATCCATTCCAGTGATTGCTTTGCAGTGCTTTAAAAATGTCTGTCTGTGCATGGTGACTAGCAGGAAGGATTTCAGAGCAACCTTTCCATGCAAGAACCCACTCATATCACATAATACTTATAAACGATGTTCATAACAGCTTATTCTTCGTCAAAACATCAAATCTATAAGACGACAAAATACATCTGGGATTCACAGAATATTTTAAAGAGAAAAACGTTAAAGTTATATCTAAATAATATAGAATATTTAAGAAAAAGGCAAGTAGAGTCCCACCGGTATAAATTTGATGACGGATTACCGTCATGGTGTGGATTGTGGATTGATATGAATCTACAGATGTACTCAAATATTATTAAATTAAAGAATATTTAAGATAAGTATTCTGCTGAGAGCTGCTTCAAAGTAAAGTCATAATTTAAACTATCTGTCTCTATATAGAGAGCTAGTTTCTCTTACACAGGTGGAAGAAACATCCAACTGAGTGTAAGACGGCAAAACAAAACATGCACGATATGTTGTAGCAATTTCTTTTATTATTATGTTATTCTCTGCCGGCCTCACCTAACTTTTCCATCCTGCTCTCATCCACTAACGTGTCATCCAGTTTGCCGTCTACCGTCTGCTTAAATCCATGTGAATGCAACACTAATCCTACACACTGGTCCCTACCCCCAAGTTGTACATTTACAAGAAAGTTAATATTTTGAGAATAAAGTAATTGTACACTTTAGCGGGATGTTATTGTACCAGTGAGTGTACAGTCAATACACTCATCTCATCATCAGATTACGGCCCAAAAATTAAGCCCTGATATCCTGATATTTAATTATACTAGAAAAAGTTATAATATATTAGTTATAATCTTTATTTCATATTGCATTATTCAGACCTTTTTATAAAATTAGAACTTTGTTTTCATATTACGACTTTTTACTCAAAATAATTGTATTTTCCAGCTCTCCAGCACTCGTCTAAACGATGCTAACAAAGCTTTCTGACAGCCCTCTTTCAAACATTATAGAAAATGACTGAAAGTGTCCATGCAAACACTCTAAATGTGAACACTCCTCTGTGTGATCTATATTTTTCCAGTCTTGGACAAGGTGTGGTTGCTAAAAACAAGATTTGTTTTGGAGATGTGAGGTTTTCAGCCAACAACGACAGAGCTGAGTGACACTTTACAGTAAAGAATTTACCATTGAAATACCAAAAAGTTGTAAATTTCAGGGCCTTTCTCCCCGAGGCTGCGGTGTTTAATTTTCGTTTGCAGCCTCAAGTGAAATGCTTTTTTCCAGTCCCTCAGTGCTACAAATCAATTGAGATCATCTGGTAACAGGTCACAGGTTCAAACTCCCTCCCTGCGTGTCATCAGCCAAATGTTGGAAAGACGAGCCGATTGGTGGTCAGCGCTTCTATCCATAATACTTCACCATCATTACATTAACATCACAAACACACTGTACACGTCCAAACTGTCATCAGGGTAGAAAGACGAACTAAAGGGTCCATTTGTGGTCTTTCTTCCGTTACTGCTGCTCACTCTCAGGTCTGGGGTTTCAGTGCGTGTCGGCTCCTTTTTTCCCAGAGTGCACCTCTGTATCTCTTCAAACGTTTGTCGGCCTTCCTCTTCACAACAGCGTTTTTTTTTCTGAGGAAAAAAAAATGGGATGAGAACAGTCAAAGTGTATTTCAACAGTCTGAAAATATGATGGTAATTTTTGTGTGTGTCCTCACTCGGTTTGCGTCCAGACGGAGCAGAAGCTCAAACACTCGCCATCCTGAGTGTCTGCACAGAGGCAGCGGCCGAGGTCCCTCCTGAGGCGGACCGAACCAAATCCATAAGGAACCACGTGGCTGGAAGACAGAAAGAGTATTTGTTGAATTTACTGTGTGATGTTCAAAGCCCTCCTGAAACTATTCTGTGATTTACCCTTACCCATCATGTCAGTGGTTTGCAACCCAAAAGTAATTTAGTGGACCTGTTGTCAGGCATCAAATAAATGCATGTTTGCAAGATAAAACTTATAAATGAATGATTTAGATAAACCTTTGAAGTTGCAAACGTTATGTTGATGAGTTATGTTGACATAAATTACATAGAAAAACTAGTTGGAATGAGTTAATTTTATGAGTAGCCTAATCAACTTAAAAACTATCAATCATTAAGTAAGTGGTTATTAAAACTACCTACCTACCGTCGGGATGGGAACGTGTCGACCTGAGTTCACAAATGTTAAAGGAATAGTTTGACATTCTTTGAGGTATGCTTATCAGTTTTTATTTGACTACTGTGTAGCTGCAGTGAATCAGTCTTCTACTAATCCATCTGGTGCCAGTGTGACCGGGCTTCAGCCGGCTCTCAGCTGGCTGCAGGTTTGGGGGATCCACTGCTGGATTAGTGGTGGGGTTAACTACACCACAGGGACAACTACCAGCAGATGCCAGTGGCTTAACAGCATTACCTTTAAGTCAAAACAAAGATATACTTTAAAATATATTTTTTTAAATGCATCACTTGTGTCGCATATTTGAACTTGACAGGCAGTTGGACTGAATTTAGATTGGACAAATCATTTGAGACTGATCACACTGTTGAAAGCCTTTGTGTCTTTTTTTTATCAAACAGTAAAACATCTGGATCCCATTTGCACTTTGCGGCCGGTGATAAAATGTGACCCTTTCATCTCCCAGCCTTCCTCTGCTCTCCATCGTCCTCCATCAACACTCTCTCGGCTTCTGTCTGCTCAATTCTGCAACATCATTTATTTTGCTTTCTTCACTTTATTAACTTTTATGTCATTCTTTTTACAACTGTGTTGGCTTCACTTCCACTTTTAAGTCTTTACTTATTTGTCAAAGCTCCTGTTTTTGCTATTTCAATACAGAGATGAATAAATCTAAGTATTGAACTACTGAACTGTAGCTTGGTGAGTTATGGCTGCACTGCACCAAAATCCTGTTGGACTCCTATTCTACTATACTTGTCTCTATTTAAAACTGTTTTATGTGCAATCTTATTGGCAGACAACAACGTAGATATTGGACGATACTGGAAAACCCTGGACTACGTTCACGACCAAGTATTTTAATGTTCAATGCTAATGTTTCTTTTAATTCTTAAAGCTTATACCTGAGATTTAAAACATTAATATTGTAGCAAATATTTGCAAATATAAAGTTTTACCATAAAACTAAAGGTATGAGCTAAAAAAGGCTAAAAGGCTCTGTAGAGCTGCTGCGTTGGTGTTGATTCACAGTGGGTTTAGCACTAGTTGTTGTTATCACAGACTCTCTGTGGTTTGTTTGCTGTTTTTATTATCTATGTCAGTGAATTAAGGATTTATTGTTTGGTTGGAATAAATCCTTAATTCACCAATAAAGACTAATGCAGTTTTGGAAATTTTATTTTGTTTCTGTCCACTTTGAATGAAGTTATCACATCATGATTGTTTTGCTATTCGACAGATGAAGTCTCTGCATTTGTCTCTCTGGAAGTCTCTCATTGTGATGGTGCAAACATACTGGTTTGTACTGTAGACATCAGTCAGTAGGGTTTACAGCAATGTTTGTAAAAGGTTGTTCAACCCTGCTAAGGAAATAAAATGAGATTCTTTTTGTTGTGTGGCTGGAAGTTGCTTTGGATAAATCTGTCCATCAAATGGCAGATGTTATGTAAACTGTGTTTGTTTGAGTTCACCAAAGGTGACTTTTATCCCGGAGGAGGCTCACTGTCGTCCATTAGCCTGTCTTTAGTTTGGATCGCGGCCTTTTTGGATGGCTGGAGGATCCTGACTGATTTCAGTGTTTATTTTTACACTTGTGAGGATGAAAATCTGCAAAAACAAATCCAATCAACACAAATCTGTGTGAAAATCGGATTTTTAAAAATAACATTTATACTGAAGGAGTACGTTTAACTGACGTCCCTTAAAGATAAATTGGGTGTTACTCTATATTTTTGTTGTCGGTTTGGCTGCACAGGGGATTTGTTAACGGGAAGAAAAATCACTAGACCACGTCAAGGACATGTTAACTAGTTTACATATTTAAAGAAAATTGTGTTTCAGCAGGATGTGCTGCAGGAGAGCTCACTGTCGCCCACAGGGTTTAGTGGTGTAGTTAGTGATGGTGGGAACTGCCAGTGCTGTTTAAAAACGTCTTTATGATGAAGGCAGGAAGATTGCATTTTACCACACTTCTATGTTTAGACTAAACTAACAATCTGAGACTTAGTGAGAGGGTCCCACCACTGCAGGAGCTGTTTTTGGCTCATATCTGGAAGCTATTTTGCTGACACCTCTCCTTTACTCCCTCTCAAGTTAATTTATTTCGAATGCCACTCATTGGTTTGGCATGGATTAAACAGTATACAGTTTATCGTCAAACAACACAGCGTATGTTTTGTTAAACCAAAGTTGATTAAATTGGTTTAAAGGTCTCATATTTTGGATATAAAATTGAGAAAAAAAATCAAATTTAAAGCCTAAATAAGTCAGTTTTAACAACCTTGTTATTATCGATGGTTATCTGTTCACCACTACATGGCAAATATAATATAAACCACTAAAACTTACAATCCACAGGCCTTCAGTAAAGTCACTGATGGCAGAAATCATCATGAATCATGTGAACTCAGAGACATGGCAGCAGTCTGTGAGAAGTTAAGTGGTTTTGGGCAGATCAGGGTCCGACCACAGTGATTTCAGACTCTTTGCGGTGTCCTCAGTGGCTTCGTGTTAGAGGGGTTAAAACGGGCTATTTAGAAAAAGCAAGAGGAAACATGGCAGAAATTACCCTTCGTTAAGAAAGGTGCTCTTTCTTATTAGTTCCACCACATCTAACTGCTCGCTCATTGCTTGTGCACACTGAACTAAAATGAAGTTAATTGCTACCAATTGTGAAGTGAGCCTGGTTCCGATTTGATGGCAGGCAATTTAAGAATATAAACAAGGAATGAGAAAAATCAAGTTTCTGTGCTGATTAAATAATGCTGAGATGATTTTATTTCTATTTCTACGTTCTACAAAGCAATAAGACTAAGACTGAATGGTGTCGGTGTGGTGTTTTTTTTGCAGCCAATGGTGCTCCCCCTGCTGGTCATTACATAGAATGCAAGTTTAAGACACTTCCGCATTGGCTTCACTTTTCAGACCTGGAAGCTCTGTCCGTTATATATAGACAGGACTCTGCAGAAATCATGTTCCGTCCTCACTCTCTGGTGATATTCAATAAGATGTAGGCTTTACTGGATGATTTTGTTTCCTGGGTGACTTCTCATGTTTTTCCCAAATGATGTACAGAATTATCTCAAATGGCTCGAAAAACAGAGCATATATCTGCTGTCTCCCCAGGAGAGAATGCCCCCTGGACCCCTGTAGGTCTGGGCTAAGCACTGAATGTTTACAACGTCTTGCTCGGTCCCAGAATACCACTAAATCCGACACACTGGCCCTTTAAGCATTATCAATTGACCCAAAGAGTCTTTAAAAGTCATCATTTGTAATCTAAACACAAGCATGAACTATTCAAGTCTCAAATCGAGTGACTGTTTAAGACGTAGATGAACAAAAAACACCTAAACCAAAAAGCTTTCATTAGCGCTGCCAAGGAGCTTGTGTTTTTTTTTTTTGGCACGTTTGTCTGTCCTCAGGATTTCAGAAAAACTACTGGCTCGATTTCCATTAACTTGGAAGGCTGTAGCATAGGCCAAGAAAGAACCCGTAAAGTTTTGGAGGGGATCCGAATCCCAGGGCAGATCCCCTGTCATTAACATTGTGAGATAGGTCAATTGTAGGGTTAGTGGTTAAATTGTTTGTTTTTCCATCTGTAAGTCAAACTTTTTCAATCATGTCTTTGCATATATTTGTAATTTGGATGATATGAATTGTGTTTTTAATACTGATGATTGTACTTGCAGCCCTGAGCCGGTAAAAAAAGTGAAAGCTTATGTTCTAGACTGGAGCTGCTGTGTGTGAACGCATCCCATCCTCCCCCAGGAACCTCCTGACTACTGCTGCAGAAGAAACCTCGGAGACTGATTGCTGATGCCTCTTATCTTCCGTTTGTTTAATCTTCACATTATAAAACTGTAACATCGATTGCGATTCAACGGCGCTCCGTTACTGTGAAAACAAACTCTGCCTTGTCTTGCAGACTCACCTCGGGGTGTTGACCCAGACGATGCCAATGTGACAGAAAAAAATACACTCCTTGTCTTTCTGGTTCTCACAGGAGCAGCGTTTCTCCCGTCGGTGGGCCGTGTGGGTGAGCTGTGCCAGGGGGCCCTCCTCCGCCGTGGGGCTCGTAACAGAAGCGGTAGAGGCTGAAAAGGAAGAAGGAAGTTAGTTATCTTTATTGTTTTATCTATTGGTTATATTTCTGTTGCTTTGTCACAATCGTTACATTTACATTTCCAGAGCAATTGAAAGAGTCTCTTCATTTTCTTAAAATTAGTTTAGAACAGTCCCTGCTTGGTTCTCATAAAGAACGTTATGAACTTTAAGTTAAGTTAAGTTGAATCTGTTGTGTTCATTTACATATAATTATAATCAGTCCAATTCAATTTTATTTGTATTGTGTCAAACTGTAACAGAAATTAACTCAGGACACTTTTCAACTGCATATATAACATATACATGTTTTCATCCTAAATCGTTGCACGTTTAAAAACAGGTTCGATTTCCTGTTTCACACCAGTGAAAAGAAATAGTGGACGAGGACAACAGAGATAGAGGGGGGACAGATTAGTTTCTGGTAGCCGCAGTGCCAGATGCAAGATGCAGGCAGAGAGTGACGACAGTCTGCAGAGGAACCTGCAGTGGAGAGAAGTAATGGAAGAAACGAGAGAGGAGGCTTGACAACAGGAGCAGACAGCTCCCGTATCAGCAGGTGAGACTCTCCTTGCTCTTGACACCTTGCAATTAATAAAATAATAAAGCACATCGGACTCTTAGTGTGCAAGGTTTCTATGCATAACCATTTTAATCAGATGATGCAAAGGCCTTTATTCTGAGACTCCACCAGCATTTGCATGATTCACTCTTCAGAAAACATCCCTATTTATCTGATACTGACCCTTCAGGCAGCCTCAGTACAGCTTATTTCTAAGGAGTAAACTTTGCATTAGCCTGCAGAGAACTCATTGCTATTAACACTGTCGTCCTCTAGCCAGCCCCACAGCTTCGGTAAAGCGTGGACTATAGTGATATGGGGCTCTGATGAATTTACTGTTAATCAGACCAGATATGAGACAGGATTTAGGTTGTGAAAATGAGCCAGAGTGCAGTGTTTCTAACAGTTTACCAAAGAGCATGATTTTTATAACTTTATTCAGGAATTTTGGTGAAATCGCATCATATTAAAAATATTTTCTGGTACTCTGGCTGCTCTGCTCCAACTTTCAGTTTCCTGATGTAAATATAGCCTTAGCTACTTATGAAAGAAAGTCTATAATATCGTTATCTGCGTATGGTGGAGCAGCAAAAATGTTAGTTACTAATTAATACTGCAGTTCCTCAAACGGCCACTTGAGGCTGGCTCCAGCAGTGAGTCAATCTCCATAAAGCCCCATATTAA